AAGGCTATATAAGTATGATCAGAGAATATCTCCTACTTGTTCTACTTGTGCTTTCATCAACACATGTAGCCAAATAATGATATTGCTTTCTATTGTCTGAATGTAATAAATATTTGCATGCATGAGAATTATTTTTCTGTCAAAGATGCAGTCATGTAAAAATAGCCCCTCAGTCCTCATACATTATTTGTTGATATCAGAATGCAGTCTGGGTTTTTTTTTAAAGTGCACTGTACCTACAGATTTGCTGTTTAAGAGAAATAAAATAATATTTCTGTTTTAATGTTCTGGTGTTCATATGCAGATATTTTTAATCTTTTTTTTTGTAATACATACAATAAAAACTACCGTTCTTTTGCTCTTCTAGTACCATGGCTAGAATGACATAGATGTCTCTAGTTTGTTTGCTAAAGGAAAAAGATGAAGGGTGCAAATTTTAAAACGTAGTGAATGGCTTCTGGTTAAGCAATTTCCTCATATAGAATAACTCCTCAGACCTGTAATTTTAATAAAGGCAAATAGAAAATGCCTAAAAACTCACATTGCTTGAGCTGCAAGTAACTCTGGTGTATCTCAGTAACACACAAGAGTTGACCCATTTCCCTCTGGTGTGCTTTTCCCTTGCTGAAAAAGCATCTTTCCAGTGTGACAAAAGCGCATGAGAAAGATTTGTCCCTCTTGCTGGACTACGTTGTCACAGGTATACCACCAACACCTAGTCAAGCAAATACAGGTATATTTTATACTGTTCACTGCACAATATTTTGGCAGCTGGAATGGATACAGCAAGGGAATGATACTGGACTTTGTAGGGCCACCATGCCAGCCCTATGATTAAAGGAATTCAGTAATTTTTTTGCAGAGATTCAAGTATGTACTCCCATCAAGCACAATTTATACTTGAGGGGACGCAATTTTTATTAGAGCACAACTATTTCTCTTTTCTTGATAAGTTTTATTTGTAGATCAGAGGCACTGCTATGGGCCCTAATTTCACTCCCTGCTATGCTAACATCACTATGGGGTATTGGGAAGAACTGTCTATATGGAACAATAACCCCTATGCCAGACATATAATCTTCAAAGGAAGATACATTGATGAGGTGCTTCTGATCTGGGATGGTAGCAGGGAGGCATTCATGGCATTTGCAACACATTGTAAAAATAATTTGGGGCTAAGTTTTACTCATGTCATAGTTCTTGATCCAGGAAAACTAGGCTGATGGGATCTAACACATGAGGAGGGAGTCATTATTACCAAGAATTATTTCAAGCCTATTGGTGGCTACTCATGTTTACAATATACGAGTTGCCACCACCCTACCTGGAAGAATAATATACCCAAGAGACAGTTTCATGGGCTAAAAAGAAACTGTTCTAAGAATTATATCCAACAAAGTAAGGTCCAGATTGATAGGTTTAAGGAAATGGATAACCTGAAGAACTCCTATTACACGCTTATAAGACCTTTTTAGATGATCCATCCACCACTAATACCACCTTAGTCACTAGGGATACCAACGTGAGATTCATTACAGGGTTTAATGGTAATTATAGAGCTATATATGTAACATCATTAAAAAACATTGGCATATTTTGTGCTCTGACCCTAAATTAGGCCCCCATTTTCATTCAGCCCCACAAATTGTTTTTAGGAGGGCCCGTACAATCAAGATTCTGATTGCTCCCAGTAAACTTAAGAATCCTTATAACAGCAGACAGATGAATATCAGGTGTTATTTTGACAATAGGGTTGGCATAAACCAATGTAAGAAACATGGATTTCTCATGTGCCAATTTATTCAGCATGGACAGTCTATGTATGTTCACAATTAGAAAGTTAATCATTCAGCGCTCTACTGAGTATATGGTTTATGTTCTACAGTGCTCCTGCAACCTAATCTATGTGGGGTGCACAAAGTGTACCTTGCAGAAAAGAATGGGAGAACACCATAGACTTAAAGAAGAAGGAAAAGATAAACAGTATTCCACGCCACTTTTCATCTCACCATGGGAAGAACATTGAGGGCCTTTTAGCACTAGCGATTGAATACATACCCAAGGGGTCTCTCACTGATAATGAGAAATTTGTTTAGATTTATAGTTTGGGGTACATTGTCCCTTCATGGCCTGAATGAAGAGATTGAAATTTACACTATAATTTAAATATTTTCCAATGTTTCTGATATTTCTGATGTTTCCCTTCAGTATTACACTGTTTTTTGTTTTACTTATTCATCTCTCTTTCCCCTTCTTGTATTTGTGCTGCAGATGCTTTTTATTATATATTTATACAATCATTAGGTTATTGTAAAAGATACAAACTAGGCATGTTTTGCTTATTTCTTTCCCTTTTGTTCTGCTTTTATTGGTGTCCTAGTAATTACTTGCAGTAGGGCATACAATGGGTTAATATTTGTGGGTGGTTTCCCTAGATGACTCATCTTCCTGGCACTTGCTGACCTGATGAAGGGGCATGTCCTGAAACATGTAGTCTTAGCAACCGGCTGTACACCCACTTTCCCCAGGGGTGGCTCTCCATCACCTTGGTTTCCCATGCAGCAGAGTTCTTCTTGGCTTCTTCCACCAACATTGTGACATAATTTCCAGTCACACAAGAATGTCACCTCTGGTCCTTGGATACACCATCTTCTGGACCCCAGTGGCTGCTGGATCTCAAATTTTCCATCTTCTTCTAAGGGGTCACCTGGTTTTATGTTACCATATCCTCGGATCTTTGAGTCATCCCACCATGCTATATGGGCAGATCCTTGCTTTTGCTGCACCTAGCAAGCTGACATTTCTGTGGTTATTCATTGCTTTAGTATTTGCACCAGCATCTTTTGTTTTATAAACTCACATGGATTTTAAACCAATTTTATAGTGTTTTCCTAGTATTAGCTCTTGGGCTCTTACCTAGTCATGAACTACTCAGCATTGCATGCGCTCCAGCCCTGATATATAAAGGTAGTTTGTACTTTCTTTTCTCATGGTGGATAGTATTGCTGAGGTATTATAAAACATAAAAAATTGCTTATAAATTAAACATTCAGTGTATCGATTATGGCACACTTTGCTGTACGTGTTCAAAACCTACAGCCTTCCTCAAAATAACTATTTAGTGTTCAGTTTATTTAGTAAATGGTGAATGCATAAGCATTTGCATGTTTGTGAACATAAGTGAAAATTGGATGGATATAGAAATTACAAAACAAATGATAGGGTAGATTGCTAGATTGTAGTGCTGTCAGCATGGACCAGTTCATAATAAAAAAATCTATCACAACCAGGGGCGGACTGACAACTCATGGGGCCCCTGGGCAATAGGAGATCATGGGGCCCCTGTGTCCTTGCCCACACTCAAAAAAAAGCCTATAAAAGGTACCAGGGGCATTTCATGGGGCCCCTTACTGACCCCAGGCCCTCAGGCAGTGCCAGAGTGCTCGAATGGTCAGTCCGCCCCTGATCACAACCAATGTGATTGATGAAGGGCACTCGTCAAGCATGTCGCTTTCACCAACTTTATTATTACTATTGAACCTTTATCTAGATACCTTCATTATGGGACATCATTGAAGGAAATAAAAATAGTAAAAATAGAGATTAAAACTGCATTATTTGCAGTTGTAGTAATATTTTAATCGCAGCCAGAATACGATATCCCAGAGATTCAAAAAATATTTAAACAATATAGTAGATTTTCTGGTTTGTGTATAAACATTAACAAAAGTGAGATACTACCAATTACAACTATACACCATAGAAAATGGGAACAACATACTCCATTTGTGGTAGTGAATATATCAAGTATCAAGGGATAAAGATTGGTAAAATGCCATCTTCACTGTATGCTTTGAATTATCCACCATTGATAAACAGGATAGTGAAAGAGTTGGAGATGTGGGCTGATCTTCTACTTTCGTTATTTGGGAGAAGCCATCTTATTAAGATGGTGAGTTTAGCCATCTTCTTTATCCTTTACAAAGATTACCAATTCTTTTTAAACATAGGTATGTGAACCATTTAATGAAGGTTAAGACTAGATATTTATGGCATGGTAAGAGTCCACGAGTATCAATATCTACTTTTTCCCTGTTTAAAAATAAAAGGGGTCTTGGTCTTCCCAATATTAGAACTTACAATTTACAACAAAGGTACTCTGACTTAGATATAGAGAATGGGACTCTCCATGGAATCTCTCTGCTTTATTACACACTAAGACAAGAAACCTGCCTCCAAGTTTGAAGATTAACATACTTTATCGGGATACAATAGTAACTTGGACAGAGTTGAGGAAAAAACAAAGTCTATCTCTCTATGTATCTAAGTTCATGCCAATTCAGGATAATCCATCATTTCCAAAAGTATTGGGATGCCTGCCTTTATAAGCACATGAAGTTTAATGGCTTCCCAGTCTTAGACCGTAGGGCTCAATATTGAGTTGGCCCACCCTTTGCAGCTACAACAGCTTCAACTCTTCTGGAAAGGCTGTGCACAAGGTTTAGGAGTGTGTCTATGGGAATGTTTGACCATTCTTCCAGAAGTGCTTTTGTGAGGTCTGGCATTGATGTCGGATTCATCCCAAAGGTGTTCTATCAGGTTGAGGTTAGGACTCTGTACAGGTCAGTCAAGTTCCTCTACCCCAAACTCTCTCATCTATGCCTTTATGGACCTTGCTTTGTCATTGATGCTCAGTCATGTTGGAACAGGAAGGGGCCAACCCCAAACTGTTCCCAGAAAGTTGGGAGCATGAAATTGTCCAAAATGTCTTGCTATGCTGATGCCTTAAGAGCTCTCTTGACTGGAACTAAGGGGCCAAGCCCAGCCCCTGAAAAACAACCCCACACCATAATCCCCCCTCCACCAAACTATACACTTGGCACAATGCAGTCAGGCAAGTATTGTACTCCTGGCAACCGCCAAACCCAGACACGTCCTGCCGTAGATTGCCAAACATAGAAGCATGATTCATCACTCTAGAGAACATGTCTCCACTGCTCTAGAGTCCAGTGGCAGCATGCTTTACACCACTGCATCTGACACTTTTCATTGCACTTGGTGATGTAAGGCTTGGATGCAGCTGTTCGGCCATGGAAACCTATTCCATGAAGCTCTCTATGCACTGTTGTTGTGGTAATCTGAAGGCCACAGGAAGTTTGGAGGTCTTCAGCTATTGACTCTACCGACAGTTGGTGACTTCTGCTCACTCTGCGCTTCAGCATGCGCTGACCCCGCTCTGACATTTTACATGGCCTACCGCTTCATGGCTGAGTTGCTGTTGTTCCAAGTCGCTTCCACTTTGTTATAATAACACTAACAGTTGACTGTGGATAATTTAGTAGCAAGGAAATTTCACAGATGGACTTATTGCACAGGTGGCAACCTATCACGATACCACGCTTGAATTCACTGAGCTCCTGAGGACGACCTATTCTTTCACAAATCTTTGTAGAAGCAGTCTGCATGCCTAGGTGCTTCATTTTATACACCTGTGGCCATGAAAGTAATTGGAATACCTGAATCCAATAATTTAGAGGGGTGTCCCAATACTTTTGGCAATATAGTGTAGTTGGCTGTTTCCAAACTCCTGCTGTTTTCAAACTACTGCTGTTCAAACTATGCACTTTTGTCCTGCTGCACTTCTGTATGGCTGCACTTCCAACGAGCAAAGTCTATAGATTATTAACAGCAATTATTTGAACTGTCATGAATGGTTTTCATTCATGATCCATTGTTTACTATTGTGATGCTTTGATTGGCCACAGATATCATATGGTACAGGGTGCTGTGGTTGGCCCAGTTATGTTATGTGATCACAGACCAATCACAGATCACACGCGGTAGTAAAACAATGATGTCATGCATGGATTACATTTATGACTGTTGTTTACTAGGTGATATGTGATCGCACAGTGATCATGTGGTAACAGAGCGGATCACAGCGGCCCAATACCGAGCACTACAATACGCTGTGCCCGGTGGACATAGTGGTCTCAGATTGCGCCACTGCACGCCCCAGAGGGTATGGGTATATTGCCCAGGAACAATTAAGCCACCTGCCAGCAGTAAAGGTACTACTGCTGGTTGACAAAGTGGTTAAAATGATACATCATATCATTATATCATCATATCATCATATGACTTCAGGCCATCTTCAACCACTCCTTAAATTGTTAATTCACCTTTACCAGAAACCTGCCTGTGCAGATAAGGGGTGTCTGTGGATAATAACAAACATTGTGTCTCTGACTAAAGTTGAATAATACCCTTGCTATAGATGTAGGCCATTTATGCTATGTGAGGCCTAGTCATTATTGCTCACCTCCATCATCACAGAAGGGAGCTTTTTCCCTAAATCAAAGCCCCTCACATGCTCTTTCTCTCCCCTGATGCAGTAGCTCTGAGCTCAGCATCTCAGAGCTCATTTCTGTGATGATGGAGGTGAGCAGTACTGACTAGGCCTCACCTAGCAATGTCGTAAGAGTTTTCCAGTCAGGCTTCAGGAGGTATGTAAAGAATTAAAAAACATGCATAACAAATTCAAATGCACTGCAGATATCAATATACACAGTGAATGTCAGCATGCACACAGTGAATTCACACAGCAAATTAAGTGTAAATATTAGCATACATTAGCAAATCCCCAAAAAAAAATTCAAACTGCAAAAAAAATGTATATATCGAAATCCCAAAACAAGTGCCACCACCTCCATTGCCATCACAATATACACATAAACACATATTACATACAAGTTTACCATTTCCAATGCTTCACAAAAAATCACAATATAAAATTTACAAATGTTTCATTGTTTATCAACAAAAAGTTTAATGCTTAGATTTAGTAGGGAAGTTCTGTTTCTTTGCGCATGTGATGATTTTAGTGTATTTTTATTGAAAACATAATTTTAATAAACATGTCTGCAAATCTCACAGGAACTAATAAATCAGTAACACTCATTTTTATTCTCTGCATCCTGTGCTTTTAGAGCAATGATGGTTTGGAGGTTCTGTTACAAACTCTTAAACTTTGTATCCTCCTTGTTAGCACATGAACTAATTGACTTCTTGTACTGCTTCTTCACCCACACTCCAGTCCTTCTGTACAGGGGCTGCAAAGGCTTGCACCAGGTCAAATTCAGGTACCTTCACTTTTTGCAGGTAATCTGCCAAGATTTGAGCTCTAGAACCAGTTCACACTTTAGAAATGCAGTCCAGATGCGTTCAGGATGTGTTTTTGCATGTGCTTTTTTGATGAGCTTTGACGCATTCCAGTGCATTTTTTATGCATTCGAGTTCATTTTTTCCCCCTCTTTTTTTCAATTTCAAGAGGTGCATTTTTGATGCGTTTTGGTGAATTCCAGTGCATTTTTAATGCGTTTTACCATGTTCCAGTGCAGTTCTGTGCAGAAAAAATGCAGCATGTTCTGTGGTTTTTTTTGCAACAGGAATGCACTGGAACTGCAGGCACTGATGTGAACTATGACATTGCCAACCATATAACCTACTTTGTGTGCATTTTGGATGCAGAAGAAAAGCAACTGAAACGCATGTAGTGTGAACTGGCTCTCAAAGTTAAAGTGGACATTCACCTGAATTGACTTCAATTTTTCCTTGCTTCTTCTCCTATTCCTTTCTCGCATTTGAAAAATAATGTTATTTATTTTTTCAATTTAATAAATGGTTTGTGCAGCAGGTTAAAATTTTTTGCCAAGGCAAGAATTACCCCCCCCCCCCATTATCTGCTTGCTTGTGTGCAGATGTGTGCATGTGGAAAGACATATATAATGAAATACATACCAGATATCAATTAAAATACATAATTGTATTATAAACACGTGTTAAAAGAAGAAGTAGAATGAAATTCCGATCATGAAAGTTATTTTGTAACAAACTGTGTCTACAATCAGCAAATCCAAACACTCCGTCCTAATAGTATGATCCAAATATATATAGTAGTTAAGAAGGTAAAGACCATAACCACCAACAGAATGATATTGCAGACAAAAAGGAGGGTGCTAAATCCCAAAGCGTTTTGCAGTCTTGGTTCCTCAGGGGTTCAAGGGGTGCAGCTGGTGAAGGAAGAAACACCGTAAATTATGTCAGTCATTACAAATATAATATGTATTTCTACATAACACAGAGCATACAAAAAGAATACTATTACAGAGGACTATGTATAGGTACTTTCACAGACCAACCAGATAGCATAAAAACACCCGAAACAGAACAAAAAAAAGGGGGGGGAGAGACTCCGAGAGAGAACAGTAGACCAATGGTGATGTCAAGGGGGGGAATGGAGCCAGAGCAGGAGAAGGCAAACAGGACAGGGGGCACCCAGCAATTCCAACACCTCGCATGGAGGTGATAACGGGGAGCATACAACCATCTACAGCCTCACACAGGCAGTCCTAAATGGATATAAGGAAGAGCAAACAATGGTATAACCTAGCTGTCACAGAACTATTGAGGGGAAAATAGGCAGGGTGTTCAAGAGTAGCAATATCATATGGTTACTAATATACAGTACCTTTTAAACTGATGGAGAATATCCAAAAAGTCCAGTCAACAAGTAAGGCCTCTTTCCCATGGACTTTCCGATCAGGTACGCCTGCCCATTCTCCTATATAGAGCTGCAGGTGTAAATGGACATGTTTCCGCTTACACCCGTCTACATCCAATCCAATCCAACCTGCAAAAAAGGGATGGATGGGGATCCAATTCCCCTTCCGTCAATCGGAAGGGGTCGAATGGAAACAGACAGGCTGTCCATTTTCATCTGACCGCCCATTGAGGAGAGGGAGCTGCTCTCTGTCTGCTCTGCAGCAGCGGAGCAGACACAGACCTGTTTACATGCTAGCCACCAATGACAGCAAACTCATAATGGCTAAGAGCTATAAAGGGATGTAGGATAGCTCTTCCCCAAACTTGCACCATCCCCTGTGCCCATGCTCCAGGAACTGTCAACATGGGTGGGTATGCCTCTGTGCAAGCACACAGAATCGGCCCGCATGCACAGTGGTGGTGGGAACATGAGAGGAGGAAAAAGCATGCACAACCACCCCAGATGCTCATGGATGGAAGCCCACACAACACCAGGGATCACACATGTGCACAGGTAGTATGATCAGTGGAAGCAGTGCCCATAGAGCCAGCCAGGGTGGTGGGACAAAACACCACCGCCCCATCAAGAGCCACCCCCAAAAAATAAAATACAACCAAGATGGATGTGCCATGCACAACACAGCACCATCTAGTAAACACCCACAAGATATTCAAAGTATGCAGTATATGCAGCCCAAACCATAGATTTGCTAACCACACAAAGGCCTAAAGTGGTTCTAAAGTCTTGAAGTTTTTTTTACCTTCATGCCTTCTATACATGAAGGTAAAAACACCTTCTGTGTGCAGCAGCCCCCCCAGCCCCCCTAATACTCACCTAAGCACTCTTTCAATCCAGCGATGTACACTTGTGGTTGTACACAAAGTGGTTCTAAAGTCTTGAAGTTTTTTTACCTTCATGCCTTCTATGCATGAAGATAAAACACCTTCTGTGTGCAGCCCCCCCCCCCCAGCCCCCCTAATACTCACCTAAGCACTCTTTCAATCCAGCGATGTACACTTGAGTCTTGGCTATCCTGGGATTCCCTTTTCTCATTGGCTGAGACAGAAGCTGGAGCCATTGGCTCCCACTGCAGTAAATCACAGCTAGTTAGGCAATGAGAACAAGCCTTTAGAATCACTGTAAATATATACATAAATTCATATTCACATAAATCCAGAACAAAGTCCAAGCAACCATATTCAGTTATACTCAAGGGGCTGCAATAAATAAGAAAGAATATTATAACATTAGGGGTAGCTCACATATCTAGTTACACCTAGCTACGCAGCAGCAGCAAGGGCTGCCAGAAAAACCACACCCAACAGGCCCCGCATGTGCACCAAAGTCACTGTTCACCATCACGTATCCACCAGAAAATATCACACAAAAAAATAATATATATACTTAATTTGCAATATTAACCTGTGTATATAACTTATCTAGGTAAACAGAAAGAAAGAGCAGTGACCATAAAGACCAAACTAAAGTCACAAAAAAAGGTCTTGAAGCTAATATTTTGAGTGGTTTGATCACCTCCAGCTGAAAGATCCATTTTGTCTCTAGCTGAAGGAGACATTTGTTAATGTCCCTACCCCTGGGGGAACTCTCAAGATGTTCAAGAACTAACAATATCACAACATTTGGGTCAAAACAGTGGTAGAGGCCCACATGATGACTAACTAATGTAATCATTTTACCATTGTAGATCAAAACATGGTCTCTAATATGTTTCCACATGAGTCTTTTTATGAGTCTTTCCAACATAAAATATTTTACATGAACACTGCAAAAATACATAACACAGTTAAACTTGCCCTCCAGAGAATTTACCCCCCTTCCTGACCAGACCATTTTTTGCGA